GCACATATGATGTATACGAATCATTGCTCAAAAAAGTTTCATTTGCATAGAACTCTAAGCCAATGGTCTTATTTATTTCTCGAATTATACTGTTAAACCTTTCCCATTGTCTTCGTTGTAGCATCTCTACTATTTCCGAAAAACCTTGAAAATTTGTGCAATCTAATTCTCTTTCTCTTGCAATATGGTAATCAGCTAGCTTGATATATTTCTCTGCATTGGCTTCAGAACATAATTTCAGGTTGGGAAAAATTAGAGCAGATGGAGTAGGTGGAGGGTTCGAGGTTGAATCCTTTGGAACTCTTTTTCTCTTAGGATCCATCCGCAAAATATTAGCACAAGAACAACAATTTGCAAGAAAATATACCAAAAACTATGAGTCGGTGAAGAATTTTTGTAGGTAGGATGAGTAGAAAGAAGTGATGTGGGAAAACTAAGTCTAGAATCTTCCTTTTATTGGCAATTAGGTGAGCCATTATGCGTGCAATGGGCCTTATCGCACGCGCCATGGTAATGGATCCTAGAATCCAACAGTCATCTCCCTTGATAGCTGAGATAAAGTATTGTCGGCGCGTGATGCAGATGGATCACGCGTGTGATCCCTGTGTGAAAATTCCAGCAAATTTGTCTTTCTCTCTTCTTTTCTCCTCCTAATTCACACTTTTACTGTGGCCTTCTCTACAAGTCCACTTTTATTTTAATAACATAAAAATAACATGATTATTACACATAACATGGAATTGAATTATTTTTTCTAAATTAACTTACCGATGGTTTCCTCCCATCAAACGCTTCTTTACCGTCATTAGTTTGACGTGTAACTCCTAATGTATGTCAAATGCAAGGGCTTCCCCCACACCGAATCATCTTGTTTATTTCCTTTAATCTCAACTCAGTAACAAGTGTCCAAGTTTGCATATTGTGTCCACTCATAAGTCTCCAACTCAGTAACATATTATTTATTTCCTTAAACCTCAACTTGTATATAAATAGGTACATATTGTGTATAGTCATATTTTCGTGTAAATATTGTATCGATTAATTGCTTTTATCTCAATTTTGTAGGATTATTTGCATGGTTGAAGCATGGAGCATCATACAGAAAATAAAAGCCTCAAGATGCAATTTTTAGAAGGAAATAATGAGTCCCAGGTCGGGTTAAGTTCGATGCTAACACGCTAAAGGAAGGCCAATCGGGGACTACCACGTTAAGCGTGATCTGAGCACACTTAGCACGAGTTAAGGTGGATTAAGTGCAATAAGTGGAAGCGTACTTAGCGCGTTCTGAGTGAGCTAAGCGTGATTTGTGATTTTTCATGTGTATAAATAGAATTCATTCGGACATTTTAGGGATAGTTTTAGGGATTTCTACTCCCAACTTCCTCAAACCCATTATTTGAGATTAGAGGCTTAGAAAACAACATTGGAGGCTACACCTTGATAATCCGGAGTTGGATTTGCAAAAATTGTCTTGACACCGCGAGAGTTGTTGGTTCATCTTCCTTCTTCTTATTGTATTCTTTATTGTTGGGGTTTGTATGTAAGTTTACTTTTATTTTATTTATATGTATTGATCATGGTGTTGTATAATATCTATTTTACAAATATATATTGATGTCATCTTTGTTTACTTGATTTATGTTTGGATATGAGTTGTCATAGACATATACTCTTCAGATATGGATTTATGATGAACATTTATTAGGTTCTAAACTCTAGAAATAGATTTAGATCTAATATTCACAGTAGGTATCGGTTCATAATGCTTTGTGTTGTTTAGTTGCGTGAGACATCACCGATGAGATAATACGGTAGAACTCTCGTTGGTGTTTTAGACATGAACACTGATGTGAGGGATACGTGACGATATTGATGAGTATTTTAGGTTGCGTATAACTAATTGATAGATTTAAGTATTTGATGGGTAAATGAAATCCAATCCCGACGAGTTCTCTCCTCTCTAAAGAATATATTATTTACTTATTCATATGTTTACTTTCCGTATTTTATACTTTTAAATCATTCAAAACCAAGTTCAGAAATGTGGAGATTTTTTAACGACATTCTTTCCCTCGCACTAATCCATGTGGATACGATAAAAAAATACTTACTTTTGCTTGCCTCTTTACCGCACCAACAAAATGGCACCATTATCGGGGATTGGTGTTTTGATATTGAAATCATTGCAATAATTTCTATATTTCTAAGCTTTGTACATATTGTCTATATTGTATTTACACTTGTATAATTATACTTGTATATTTACTTGTATATTTACTTGTCTATGTTTTCCATTATTGTATATTTGTACATGTTTTCCATACTTGTGTATATTGTATATGTTTTTGTTTCCCTTCATGTTTGCTAAAGTGTTGGTTAGGAGTATTTTGTATATATGTTAGCGCTAAGTGCAGTTTGTATGGCTAAGCGTGTCCGTTAATGTGTCAGTGGAAATTCTTTTCACTCAGTCCTCTTACCCACTTTCACCCAGGTCATTTAGAATACTAAATAGTAGTAGTTAATTTCTAATATTTTGTTTGTTATTTGTATTCAAAAAATGGTCTAATTATTTGAAGAAATATGGAGTGATTCTTTTCAAGTTTGAATGTTTTAACATGCAAATGTGTGATAGTGATAGTGTTTGAAGTTGTACAATGTAAGGTACATGTTTAATTCTTTCTATTATATAGCGTGAATATGAACTTAAGCTTTGTACAAATATCATGTCATTCATTCTTTCGCACTACTTGTTCATTTTTAAATAACTTTAGATCTTACCCCAAATGTGAGGAAGCTTTTCATTGTTTACTATATACACGGACACCTACCACATGCACGCTGAGAGTAATAAAAACGACCAATAGGAGTGGATCTTATGTTGATCAGATGCCAACTTGGCGATTGAAGGGATTTGGGGCTTGAGTTCTATATTTACTAATAAAGATGGTATGAGCGTCAAATCTGTGACTAAGTGCATGAAAGGGTCACAACCCATGTAAGCAGAAGCTATGGCTCTCCGAATGGCTATTGAAATAGCGATCAAGGATGAATATCTGAAGATAGCGTTCGAATAGGACTGCTTGAACCTCATCAAACTTATGGAGAAGAACACAATCACCATTCTTAGGAATACTGTCAAAGGGGTCATGAAAAAGATGAAACAATATAAGTCTTATTTTGAGAGGATTAGGTATTCACATGTTAGTCATGAGCAAAATATTGTGGCTCATGACCTAGCCAAAAGCGCTGTTATCATTTATAAGAAAAGTGGGCCGGATCTAGTGAATAATAAACCCAGCAAGAACAATTGTAACTAGCATTTTCTTGTCATGGATTTTGGCTTTAAAAAATATATATATTTTAGATATTAATTTGTAAAAATTAACCAATACAATACCTCTTAGGTATTCTCCAAAATAACGCGGAGGCATAAGTGAAGATATATCCACTCTTAAAAAAATTCTACAAAAAAAAGTCATATATATACATTTACAAATAAGATGAAATTAAAGTAACAAATTAGTCTACAGAAATGCAATAGAATAATAAAAACATAATTGAAAATCACTTTTTAGAGGGAAACAAAAATAAAATACATAAAAAGATAGAACAGATGAAATAAGAAAAAAGTTATTTATCAACATGGTAATAAATAAATAAATAAAATATGAATTCATCCACTTTATTCATAATTTCCAAATAAAAATCATTTTTTATGTTTTGATTGACTAAATTTCATTTTAAAAAGTGAAAAATTTAATACAAATAAAAAATTATTTGCACACCGTATATAATTAAAAAAATGTTTTAATGAGAGAAAAATAAAGAGATTGTCTTAAAGTATTTGAATAAATAATGTATTTAAATCCAATTTAGACTAAATACATCCTTTATTAATAATATTAAAAATTATTTTATTTGTTTATAGTAAAGAATATATAGACTATTTATGTAAGGATATCTGACTCCACATGCGAGAGTTTGAATTTGCGACATAAAAAAATGGATAGATTAGGTGACAATCACAATATGTCATATCTAAAATTAAAATTTTAAGTGTATAAATAATTTCTTTTATATATTAATATTTTATTCATATATTCATAGTCTATGTAAGATTAAGAAATCTAGTATCCTCTATATGCCATTGCAGAGCAGTTGCATAGATTAATCTCTCTAGTCGGGTAGAATCACAATAGATGGCAACGCTTTCCCTCATTAAAAAATGATATGTCACGTTTAAAATTAAAATTTTAGATGTATAAATATTTTCTTTTATATATTGATATTTTATTAATATATTCATAGTCTATGTAGGACTAAGAAACTGAGTATCTTCTGCACGTAATTGTAGAACAATTGTAAAGATTATTTCCTCGAGTCGGGTAGAATCCCAATAGGTGGCAAAGTTCTACTTAAAAAATATATAATACTACTGTGTGTCCAAAGCTGAGTTCAAACCCAAAACCTTTGATAAAATTGAAATAGATCTCTTAACATCTCATCCAAGAACTTTTGACTACTGAATATTCATATTTGAACTCAAAAATTTTCATCTAAATTATGAGCCTCACACATACTTTAAAAAATTCAATAATCCATGCTTGTTTTCCTACTGAGTCAAACCAAATTTTAATACTTATAATTGACAAGTTTAAATGAGTGCTTGAAGCAACAATAAATTAACACTCCAAAATAAAATGTCATATTTTCTCACAAAATATGAATCATGTCCTTATACAATCACATTTTACTTATTCACAATCAATAATTAAGAAAAAAATAATCAATTATTCAAAGCAAAACATCAATTGCTAATAGCTTATATAAGTAACTTCATAAAAACACATCAAATCCAAGCAATATCAAATATTAAGCAGGCAAAATGCATAGTTTCAAGCCAAATGCAACTTACCCGTAAAATAAATATTGTTATTTTAATCCAAATAAACAAACATAACAACATCATAATGATGCCAAATAGTTTTAAACTAGGATATCTATATTCCTTCCGATGAAAGAATCGCGGACGAGGGCTTGCTTGGGCCTTCTGTAGGAGGCTCATTTGGGTCGGACAGTACTACTTCTTGACCCTCCGTAAAAAAGCTCCCTAGTATTATCTGCAAAATCAACATCGTCATTCTGTAACATTATCTTAAGAGTGTAGTATAGGAAAAGTATTCAAAATTCAGATGATATATACAAATTGTATAAATTCAAAGAGTGTCTACCTGAACCGGAGAGGCAGCAATCAGAACACCGTCAATTCTACCACCAAATGAACGACCATTTGATAATGAAACAAATGATCCCTTTACTTCACCATATCTTTTTTGCTCACTTTTATTTGTGCTAACAGACACAGAACCTTTCAGTGATAGGATCTCAAATAGTCCCTAACAAAATAAAACATCAGCCACACACAAACATGTTAATATTATTAAGTCATCTTATATAGACACCTAAAATCGACACAATGTATGTAACACCATATCAATGTATGACGTAGGTGTATATTTTGATGTTGAAATAACTTTTCTTCTAGAGTAAACATAAAAAGCTTCATAAACAACATAACAATACATGCAACATATTTACACTAACAAAATTATTAAATTATATTTTAGAGATCCATGTAATTTATAATTGTAGAACTAACCTCATAGGTCACAGTTTCAGTAGATGATGGAGATTGAGAAAACCTTATTTTAGAAACTGTCCCATTTGATGATATAACAGTTACATTTTTTGAGAGACTATGAGAAAAGGCTATAATCTTCTCCAAAACATTCTGAATATCAAAATATATACATTTATAAGAAAAATTAATAGCTGGAAAACAATAATAAATATATTCCTAGATGACTAATATTAATATAAAAATATTATTTTCAATAGATATAATGTTAAGAGTAATATTTTTTAGATGTGCAATAAATATTCATAAATGTTTTGGTTTAGCCTCAATCTTAAACAAATTAGTATGATGTTGATATGAAGCGGGATATGAAAAGTATTAATGGGACTCCTGTGTAAATCAAGAGATGTTGCACTTATGATTTTAAATTGTGTTTACAATTGTAAGTTTTGCAGTTCAGGTAAATGTGATTGTTGCAATATTTATTGTGGTTGTTGCGACATAAACTTTTATTGTGAGGTATTTGAAATACATTCTCTAAAAATTATTAATGTAATAATTTTTTCATTACATCATAAATAAATTGAAATTTAAGGATTCTGAAATGTTGAGGTTTAATGAAAATATATGAAGAAAATTTAGTAAAATTGTTTGATGTTGTTTCTAATGAGGCTGGATGATGATTTAAAATTATTGTACAATTGCGGTTTGATACAATTGTAAATAATATAAGATCAAAAATATTATATCAGATTGAAAAATCACATATCCTTTCATAGATAGATATCTCTAATCTTTAGGAAATATGGTTTAATTAATAAAGACAAACTCTTGAAACTAAAATTAAAGTTTTTTTTTTGTTATAAGTCATGATGTGGAAAATAGAGGTACATATAAAAATATAAACAAAAAATTAAAGATTGAAAAACACATAGTTATTTATAAGCAAACCACTATATATTATTAATGAATTTTAAATAATACTGAAAAAATTAATCAATACAGTACCTCTTCGATATTCACGATGATCATGTGAGACTTAAGTGAAGATATATCCATTCTTTAAAATAATTAACACGAAAATATTATGCATACATATTTGAAAATGAGATGAAATTGACATTAAGAAAATATTTATAGTTCAGAGAAATGTAAGAGAATGATGAAAAAATAAATAAGAAATTACATTCTAGAGGAAAACAAAATAAAATACATAAAATAATGGAACAAATGAGATAGAAAAAAAATTATTTACAAATAAGGTAATCAATAAAATAAATAAATAAATAAAATGTAGATTCATCCACTTAGTCATATTTTTCAAAGAGTTTATTTTTATTTTTTATTTTACTTGAATTCAATTTTTAAAGTAAAAAACTTAATACAAATCAAATATTCCTTTTAAACTATATATATTTTTTAAAAAATAATCAAATGGGAGAAGAAAAGGATTACCATAAACGATATTCATACCGGACTTTTTGTTGCGAGGTCTGTAAGGTCGACCTCTACGCTTCTTAGAGGTGTTGGTTGAGGTGAAAGGCAACGTAGCCGTTGAAAAAAATGGCACATTAGAATAGCTAATAATTTCATGTGGATAATTTAAATGTCCAGGAGAAAGAGAAGAACGATGAAGAGGAAAGTTACTTTGTGAACCCAATAGGCGTAGTTGTGGTGGTGATTCATAAGGTTTGTCAAATCCGAGAGGGAACTCACACTCATTCCCCAATCCAGATCTCGACATGATTTTAGTGGTTTTGATGTTACACTTTGGATACAATTATGATAGCAACAATTGATACTATTTTTTAGATTGCGGTTATATTTTTTTGTATGTAATAGGTACACTTTAGTATAAATATTAAAAAATATACCCTAACTTTTTAGCTATCGTAACCGTTACAATGAATAATACCCAAATTTATGAGTATATTCTTGTTTAGGAGAAATTTAGTGCTATCTTATGTTTTTTTATAGACCTTATTTGTTTTAATGGGCTTTCTAGAAAAAATATGGGTCATGCTTTTCTATCTGATTTTTATTCTCTCATTTTTTAACTCTTGTTTGTTTATTTATTGTATAAAAAATTTAGCTTACTCCTATATATATATATATATATATATATATATATATATATATATATATATATATATATATATATATATATATATATATATATATATATATATATATAGGCAGACCAATGGCCCAAAAAGTCAAGACCTAATACATTCATCTTTATAATACTCAAGATTCACTTTATAATCTTTATTTTTTTATTACATTCATCTTGAATTATGAATTAACTTGAACATTAGAGTATTAATTTTAAATATTCAAGTCGCTGTTTTAGAGATTAGTACCACCGATTTAGAATTTATTATTATCAATTTACACTTAATTCTGGCAATAGAATAGAGTATTAATTCAGTTCTGTGAGAATAAATAAATTAAATAAAATATAAATCCACCCAATTTAATCATATTTTACAAAAAGTAGTTTTAATTTTTTTTGTTTGACTAAATTTCATTTTTAAAGTTAAAAACTTATACAAATAAAAAAATTACTTAGAAAATGTATATAATTTTAAAATTCATTTAATGAGAGAAAAATAAAAAATTACCATTAAGTATATTGAATAAATAATGTATTCGAATCGAATATAGACTAAATATATTATTTATTCAATCAACTTAAAATTACTTTATTTGTTTACAATATAGAATATAGAGATTAATTATACCCCAAATTTAAATTAGAGACATAAAAAAAAAAGGAGAAATTAGGTGACAATAACAATATTGGATCAATGATATTAGACTATTAGAAAGGATATGTCACATCTAAAATAAGATTAAGTATTCATATTCGAACGTCAACTGAATTATGAGCCTCACACATTATTTAATTAATTCATCAATCCATGTTTTTTTCCTATAAAATCAAACCAAACTTTAATACTTATAATTGATATGTTTGAATAAGTGCATGGAGAAACAATAAAGTAACATTCTAAAACAGGGAAATGACATATTTTCTCATAAAATATGAATCAGGTTTCTTATAAATTCAAATTTTACTCTTGCACAATCAATAGTCAATGTGACAATAAACAATCATTCAATGTAAAATATCAATTCCTAGTGACCTAGATAACTAACTTCATAAAACACATAAAATCCAAAAAATATTAAATATTAAGCAGTTCAAATGCATAGTTTCAAGCCAAATACATAAAGTATGTAAAAAAAATAATGCACTTTTGATCAACAAGAGAATGATACGAGATAGATTTTAACTAAGACAATATTACGTCGATGATTAAATTTTAACTAAGACAATATTACGTTGATGACTGGACTGAACCACTGATAGAGGGTTGTTTGGGTCTTCTGTATGAGATCATTTAGACCGGACAATACTACTTTTTGATATCCAAAAATAAAACTCCATAATATTATGTGCTAAATCAACATCATCATATGTGACATTATCTTAAGAGTGTAGTATAAGAAAAATATTCAAAATTCAGATAGTATATACAAATTGTATAAAATAAAGTAGTGTGTACACGAATCTGAGTAACAACAATCCAAACACCATTAATTTTACTACCAATTATATAAACATTTGATAATGAAACAAATGACTCTTTTATTCCACTAACCCTTTTCTGTTCACTTTCATTTACGTAACAAACACATAACTTTCAGTGGTAAGATCTCAACTTATCCCTAACAAAATAAAAAATCGACCACACACAAACATATTAATATTATTGAGTCAGGTTATATAGAGACCTAAATTTGACACCATGTATTTATTAGGGAATTAGATATTGACAATGTATCAATATATAGTGTACGGGTGTTTTTTTAATGTTCAAATAATTTTTCTGAATATTTTATCCAGAGTAAATATAAGAAGCCTCATAGACAACATAACAATACATGAAATATATTTACACTAATAAAATTATTAAATTATATTTTAAGATACATATTTTAGAATTATAGAACAATCCTCGTCGGTCACAATTTCAGAAAATGATAGAGATTGAGAAAATCAAACTTTTGAAACTATCACAATTGGGAAAATTATGCGAAAATGTTGTAATCTTCTCCACAACTCATCTCAATATCAAAATATATTCATTTACAAAAAAAAAATTAATAGTTGGAAAACAATAATAAACATATTGCTAAAAGACTAGTCATATTATAAACATTATTATTTTTCATCTATTTCAATAGATACATTCTTAATCAACTGATTACTCAAGATATGGTTACTGGTATTCCAAGTCTTGAGATGCCTGAAAAACTTTTTGAAGGTTGTTTAGTGGGAAAGAAATCCAGAAATTCTTTCATTTCGACTATGTCAATGAGATCATCCTGCATTCTCGAAGTGGTGCATTCAGATATATGTGGTCCATTTGAAGAACATACAATTGGTGGAAACATATATTTTGTTTCCTTTGTCGATGAGTTTAGTCAAAAGTTGTGGATCTATGTGATCAAACGAAAGGACGAAGTATTCGAAATCTTTAAGAGATTCAAGATACTTATCGAAAACCAGAGTGAGAAGAAGATTAAAGTTCTACGAACAGATGGAGGTGGCAAATACACATCCATGATGTTTGAAGATTTCTGTGCAGAACATGGTGTTGATCATGAGGTAATTTCTCCTTACACAGCTCAACATAATGGAATTACTGAAAGAAGAAATAAAACCATCTTAGATATGGAAAGATGCATGCTGAAGCAAAAGAATTTGCCAAAATCTTTATGGGGAAAAGCTGTTTTGACTGCAGTTTATATTTTGAATAGGTGTCCTACTAAGATATTGAAGAACAAGGTTCCTAAAGAAGTGTGGAGTGGCAAACGACTATCAGTAAGTCACTTGAAGGTGTTTGGCTCTATGAGAGACGAAGTAGGACGAAGTATTCGAACGAAAGGACGACGTATTCAAAATCTTTAAGAGATTCAAGATACTTGTCGAAAACCAGAGTGAGAAGAAGATTAAAGTTCTACGAATAGATGGAGGTGGCGAATACACATCCAAGATGTTTGAAGATTTATGTGCAGAACATGGTGTTGATCATGAGGTAATTGCTCCTTACGCACCTCAACATAATGGAATTACTGAAAGAAGAAATAAAACCATATTAGATATGGCAAGATGCATGCTGAAGAAAAAGAATTTGCCAAAATCTTTATGGGGAGAAGCTGTTTCGACTGCAGTTTATATTTTGAATATGTGTCCTACTAAGATATTGAAGAACAAGGTTCCTGAAGAAGTGTGGAGTGGCAAACGACCATCAGTAAGTCACTTGAAGGTGTTTGGCTCTATGTGTTACAAGCATGTTCCTGATGCAAGGAGAAGGAAGCTTGATGATAAGAGTGAACCTATGATTCTGGTAGGATATCATAAAATTGGTGCATACAGACTATTCAATCCAGTTAATGAAAATATTGTGTTGAGTCGAGATATTGTGATTAATGAAAATTCTGCCTGGGATTGGAATTCTAGCAATTCAATTAACAAATAATTAAGGAACTTTGATTTCGACGAAGAAACTAATGAAGTAAAGGTCGAAGAAATTGTTGAGAATCCAATCGAAGTCGAAGAAGAAGCGGTTGTTGACACTCCCGTCACAGTCGAAGTCGAAGAGGTTGTGGCTGAAACAAGCCAAAGACTTCAAAGAAATAGAGTTCTTCCAACAAGACTTCATGATTATGAAGTAATGGGTGATGATGAAATCACACCAGATGGAGAATTAGTTCATTTTGCTTTACTTGCAGGTGCTGAACCAATCAACTATAGTGAATCTTTGAAGATTAACAAGTGGAAGTTAGTTATGGTCGAAGAGTTACAGGCAATCGAAAGAAACAACACATGGGAGTTAGTCGAATTGCCAACACATACAAAAGCTATCAAAGTAAAGTGGGTGTTCAAGTTGAAACACAATGCAGATGGGTCAATTGCAAGACATAAAACAATATTAGTAGCTCGAGGTTTTCTTCAAAGAGAAAGACTTGACTACTCTGAAGTATTTGCTCCAGTAGCAAGATTAGAGACTGTTTGACTAGTAGTAGCATTGGCATGCAACCAAGGCTGGTCAACATTTCATCTAGATGTGAAATCAGCATTTTTGAATGGTCCTTTAGACGAAGAATTTTATGTCACACAACCTCATGGGTTTGTGATTCAGAAGGAAGCGAGTAAAGTATATAGATTGTACAAAGTGCTCTATAGCCTCAAGCAGGCACATGGGGCATGGAACAAGAAGATCGACTCATACTTAGTCGAATTAGGATTTGTCAAATGCAAATCAGAGTATGGTGTCTATGTTCTGGTTGTAGCACAAGATATAATAATCAGCTGCTTGTATGTTGATGACTTGCTAGTAACTGGAAATAGTTTGGAGAACTTGTTGAAGTTCAAAGAGCGGATGACGAAGGAATTTGAAATGTCGGATCTAGGAAAATTATCTTATTTTCTAGGCATGGAATTTCAAATGTCGAAGCAAGGTATGGTTCTACATTAAAGAAAGTATGACAAAGAAATACTCAAGAGATTCAGAATGGATGATTCAAATCCTGCATCCTCACCTGTCGAACCAAATGTGAAGTTGGAGAAGAATGGAGAGGAAGACAAAGTCGATGCAACTTTGTTCAAGAAAATTGTGGGATCTCTGAGGTATGTGTGCAATACTCGACCTGATATAGGTTTCGCAGTCG